ACTATATATATATATATATATATATATATATAAAACTCGCACTTCATGTCCCTCCCATCTTGCTTGTCATTCTTTTATCTCGCTCGCATATCTGGTATGAGAGATAGACGTTTATTACACTAGATGTTTTGTAGTATTATTGAAACAACACCATTATTTTGATTTGAAAATCCTCTCATTTTTTTGATGTTATAGAATTATAAGTTTGAAAAGAAAAAAAAATGAAAAAGGGTCTAGCTCGCCCAGCCTTCGGACCCTTCTAAGGTTGGATTGGATTGAGCATTTTCAGGCCCTACCAAATGAAGGGTCAGTCCACCCTAGCCCTTTAAAATTCTTGGTCCGTGAGGCTTGGTCCATGTGTGGTTGGGCTCATCCTTTTTGACTGCTTTACCCAAATGCCATATTTTTTTTTAAACGAGGTCTTCGATCACGCGACATAAAACTTTCTTTTTATTATTGAGTATTTTGAATGAATTTCCATTTCTATTTATTTAATTAAATTTTATTTAACAGAATAAACTAAAATCAAAATTAAACTAAACTACATGAAGAGAAATTTACTTTGTTGACCTGTGTCGGACTGAAGAAGACGTTCTTTAACCAAAACATAAGCACATAAAGAATCATATAAGGTTCTTGTCATTCTGAAACAATTCGACAATTCTTTACTTTATTTGTCGAATCAATCTTTTTGAAGAAGACTTGAAAATAATTTTAATTTACTCTGTTGACGTGTGTTAGAAACAGGGGAAGACGTCTTTCAAGACAGAACATACAATACAAAAAAAATCATTTGTGTATTTCGTCATTCTAAAATAGCTTGCCAGTTCAATGCTTTTATTTTTCGAGTCAATTTTTTTGAAGAAGACTTGAAAATGATTTTCAGAAAACAATTGAGATCACTATGATGATAAAAAAATGTCGAATCCACATTCTCAAATTTCTCATTACATTTCGCTCAATCACACCAGTCAACATTATATTTCAACCTTTTGGCTCTTAAGTATATATACATTTTTTTCAATATCTTTCACTATTATTATTTCACAATAAAACACGATCAAATATTCCGAAGAAAATGTGGAAAAACAGAGAGATATTTATATAGGAGGGAAGGAGTACGTGGCCCATAGATATAAGAAACGGAGGCCTTACCATTTCGGGTCAAAACCCTAGCAGCTATAAATCAACACCCTGCTCCATAATTTCTCTCTTCTGTTTGCTCTTCGCATGGTTCTTACCAGAAGATTCTAGTTCAGGTATTCTCACTTATGTTTTCTGCAAATTCTCCTATGGTGTTATCTCTGTATAGATTTTCGAATCTTGTTTTCCTTTGTTAAATTCAGTTTTTAAATTAATTGGGAACTCAGAATGGTTATTTATAGTTCGGATTTGGGTGTAGTCTTTGTAGTTCCATAAATCTTTGAGTTTAATTTCGGATCTATGTTTCTTTTCGGATCCGTCTTCTTTGTTTTTACCTGGGATTAAACTTTAATTTGTGTATCAACTTTTTTTTTGTGTGTTTAGTACAATTAGTCAACAAAAAAGGATATTTCTAGAATTGACAGTGTTCTTGATCTGGAGCTCGTGAACTGGTCAGTTGTGTGAAAAAAAAAGAACAAGAAAAAAGGATCTTTTTAGAATTGTCAGTTTTTTATCTGGAGTTCGTGAATTGGTCAATGGTGTATGAAAAAAGAGAACCGGAAAAAAGGGATTTTTTTTTAGAACTGACAGTGTCCTTGATCTGGGGTTCGTGAATTGGTCAATTGTCTATAGGCGCAGACCATATGTGATAGCGGTTTGTATCTTGCGTTTCCGCTGTGTACCCGGAATTTAAAATGTTAAATCTGATAAGGAACTGCGTATACATCCAATTTTATTGTTTTGTTGCTGTCAGAATCTTTTTTTTTCCATCTAGAAGCCATGGCAGATCCAGGATTTTTACCTTAGGGGTTTTAATTTTTTGAGACTGTTTGATTTTTTTGGGATCAATTTCACTATAACAGCACATTTTTTTAAAAAAAATATAATTTATAGTGGAAGATTGGAGCTAGTGGCAGTTCCCGCGAAAAAAATAAATAACAGAAGCTAAAAATATGATGCTCTCAACAAGACGCAAGGGACAATCTGAAAGGCAATTACCATCGTGCTACCCTTTGTTGCTTGTTACGGGGTTCAAAACTAATAATGTACATAAATACAAAAAATTTTCCTCATATATAAGGTGTATTTTTTGCCAAGGGGTTCGGGCGAACACCCTCCGCCCCCTAGATCCGCCCCTTTCTAGAAAAACTGTAGAAATTTCTAAGTCCTGCCAATGTAGGATGAGTATGTCGAATACATTGTATCATGGCTACATGTTGAGTATTTGAGGTAATATAACATGAAATTGGATGAAAGTTCATTAAATGTATCTCTTTTCTAATAAGGGTGAATGTTTCTCCAAATTTTCAACTTTGGCAATTTCAACCTATTCTAGTTTCTTAGTTTGGACAGGATCAAGGTTGTGAGAGATGCGTACTTGTGCTGATGGAAAACTATTTTCTATCTTGACATATTAGAAGTTTTAGTAGGTGGATTTGTTCTTCGTGGATTTATGACTTTTATTTGCAATTTTTTGATGATAAACAGTATCTAGTCCATATTTGCAATGGCTGGTCGACGGGATAGCTATGGAAAGCGGTCTCATTCTCAGTCAGATTATGGTGAAAACGGGGGAAATAAAAGGAGAAATACTAGAAATGATAAGGATCCTTTCTCTATTGGCCCTGATGATACAGTATATCGGTACTTGTGTTCAGTAAAGAAGATTGGCAGCATCATAGGTAAAGGTGGGGAGATTGTTAAACAATTAAGGGTGGATACGAAATCAAAAATTAGAATTGGAGAGACAGTACCTGACTGTGATGAACGTGTTGTCACCATCTACAGCTCAAGTGAAGAAACAAACGAGTTTGATGGCACTGAAGTTCGTGTTTGTCCAGCTCAGGATGCCCTTTTCAGAGTATATGATAAAATTATCAGTGATGACACTACTGATGAGAACTCTGAGGAAGCATCACAGGTTACTGTTAAGCTTTTAGTACCTTCAGATCAGATTGGATGTATTATTGGGAAAGGGGGACAGATAGTTCAGGACATTCGAAGTGAAACTGGTGCTCAGATTCGTATTTTGAAAGATAAGCATTTGCCTGCATGTGCATTGAGCTCAGACGAACTTGTGCAGGTAATGCAGGATCACCTTCCTATCTATCCACTTGTTTAACTTCTGTAACATCTAACTTGTAACTTAATTTCAATAATTTTGTTAATTAGTTAGTTTGATGAAGTGCTCGTTTTTCATGCTTGAACTTGCGGGCCTTCACATTTCAGCCTAATGACTTTGGGTATCTTCTTTTACAACTTGGTTGACTGTCTTACAGAATTTAAGCAGATTGACCATGCTGCACTTCTGTTTCCAACCACATCTTGAAATTTTTTATTGACGGACAAAATTGCATAATTATACACACAAATGGATGGGTCAGTTTCTTTAGTTATAAATGTATTGCCAATTTTCTTGATATTCTTTGGCTATCAAGCTGGGACCTCTTTTTTTAATCTCATTGCGCTTATCAGTAGTCTTAATTTGCTCTTGTAGTCTCTTGGCCTTTGATTTCTGGTGCTATCTATTGTTTCTTGTACCACAATTTTTTTTTGGTTGTAGTTTGTTCTGCTGCTATCAGTTGTTTTTATTATTATCTATTTTTTGTACTTCCATAACTCCTTTTTGGGACTGCTTTGCACTATTTAATCTTAAGCTGAGGGCCTCTCTACCTATGAGGTAGGGGTAAGGTCCACGTACACCGACCATCCTCAGACCACCCTACTTTGTGGGACTACCCTGGGTATGTTGTTGCTTAGTAATGTGGAAGTACAAATAAATTTGGCTGAATTAACGTCACTGTTCATCTGATTGCTGGTTTCTTGGTTTTAGATATCTGGTGAAGTTGCTGTAGTGAGGAAGGCTCTCTTTGAAGTTGCAACTCGTCTTCACAATAATCCATCCCGTACCCAACACATTCTAGCCTCCGATGCACCAACTATCTACTCCTCGCGCAGCTCACTTATTGGTTCTGCTGGTGGTGCTCCAATAGTGGGAATAGCTCCTTTAGTGGGGCCATATGGGGGTTACAAAGGGGAGAGCAGTGATTGGTCAAGGTCTTTCTACTCTGCTCCAAGGGATGAATCATCTTCAAAGGAATTTTCTCTTCGTTTAGTGTGTCCTGCTGCAAATATCGGAGGTGTTATTGGCAAAGGTGGAGTCATAATAAACCAAATTAGACAAGAGTCTGGTGCAGTGATCAAGGTTAATAGTTCTAATGCTGAAGGTGACAATTGTGTGATTTCTATTTCTGCAAAAGAGGTAAGTATTTTCTATTTAAATGAATGTTTATCGGAATATGCTACTTGAGGATTTTGTTCTCTCAGTAAAGATGCGGTGTTATGCTTTTTCTAGTTTTTTGAGGACACATATTCTCCCACAATTGAAGCAGCACTGCGCTTGCAACCAAGGTGCCGTGAGGAAGTGGAACGGGATTCAGGTCTTATATCAGTCACCACAAGGTTGCTGGTTCCAGCATCTCGAATCGGCTGTCTTATTGGGAAAGGAGGATCCATAATTAATGAGATGAGGAAAATCACAAAAGCTAATATTCGCATTCTCTCGAAGGAAGATCTTCCAAAGGTTGCATCTAATGATGACGAGATGGTACAGGTAATTATTCATTGTTAATAGTAAATGAGTTCTTTGTGTATGTCAAAGTTATTACTCACTTGGTCAAAAGGGGAAAAAGGTCAGTGTTTTCTCAGTAACTTTCCCTCTCCCTCTTTAGAAATCCGGCTACTGGAGTATGAATATACAATATGAGTGAGGGTCTCTGATGTAGATGTTGACATCTTTGAAAGCCATAAGCTGCTTTTGCCTTTGGATCCATATCTGCTCTTGATTAGTTTTTGGGGAGGGACTGTGCATGAATGGAACTATTGTTTCATAGGGTTTGCCCTTTTTCCCTATTCTGTGCCGTACCCACTGTTCCCCAAAATAAATCCTCCAAAGAGGGAAAAAAGAATGCTGATGAAAACATATTTTGTGTAGTTGTTCCTTATCTTTCTTGTTATTACTGTTTACTTGTGCTATCATACTTGGTCTCCGTGTTTTTATAAAACTGATATAGGAATTTCTTTCATGCTCTTATATTTACATTATACGTGTTATTTTTTGCTTTGAAAAAGTGACTCGAAAGACCATTTTTCTTAACTGAAAACCAATTATATACTTCCAACATCAATCAGATATCAGGAGATCCAGATGCTTCAAAGGATGCACTCATGCAAGTAACATCACGTTTAAGGGCTAATCTTTTTGAAAAAGAGGGACCCATGTCTGCCTTTGTGCCAGTTCTCCCCTACCTCCCCATGTCAACAGATTCAGATACCTTGAAATATGAACACAGAGATACTAGGAGACAGGGACGTGAACATTCCTACTCAGCTGGTTATGGTGGTACTAGTGACCTTCCACATGCTGATGGTTTTGGAAGTTATGGTACTCTCCAGGTAATGATTTGTTTCATTGGTTAGGACAGCAGAGTTTTTGGAAGTTGCAGTGTTCTCTAGAAGTTCTGGGATTTGTTTGTTTCGGGTTCTTTCTACAACTTTTTGTGGAATGTCTATGTGCATCTTGCGTTATTAATATCTAAATCTATTTGCAGAGTAGTAGCAGTGTAGGATATGGGGCATATGAAGGATATTCCCCTGCTTATCCAAAAGAAGGATATTCCCATGGGCGTTCCAGTGGATCCGGGTGAGTCTCTTGCCTTACCTTCACCAGTCTTGGGTAGGGCAATACTGTGATCAATGTTGCCCATGATTTTCTTGATAGAAAAACAAGAATGAGCTCGTAGTTCCATATTAGATTCTTGCCTGTTTATGTCTGAACTCTGACCGAACAACATTCTGGTTGGAAGTTTGTCACTGGTGATTTTTGTTCTCTGCCCATTTGTTGCAGAGGATTTCTTATTTAGTTCCTCTACTTTCAACTGCACTAAAGAAGTCAAAATCGCTTCTACAATTTTTATTCATTGTTAAGTTTATGTTAACAGGTCATCAAGGCAAAACTCTGCCCCCCGGAGAAAAAGTTATGGTTACTAGAGCTTGTAACAGGACCACAGGTAGCTCTTGAATTATGGTTCTATTGCATTGCATCTTTCGCTTAGTTTGCTGGTATTATATACCTAATCCCAGTCATACAGAACTTGTAAACGTTTTGGTATGATGACCCTAACCTATCTTCCAATTATGAAACTAATGGTATTCTTTTCCCTTTGTTTCCTTTCCCTCGCTACAAACAGCCGAGATATCTGAAGCCTGAAGCCTGCCTACTGCCACCTTTGATGAAGCCTCATTGCCTAAACCAGATGACCAGATGAATGAGGACATCAAAAATCATTGCCTACCTTGATGTTTTCCTTAGCAGGATCATATCTGAAGGTTTTACCTACTATCAAAATTTGCCATGCCCTGACACCATATACTTCCAAGCTCAAATTTTTGTGCTTCCAAGAACCTGTGTAGCCGGCGGCCTCATCCTTCACCCCTTTGATAGTTGTACAATAGCTCTTGAATCTCGGCCATGTGTCCTGATGTCATGTTTTCCGTTTGTTATTATTTGTATGAATCTACCTCTAGTTGGACTTGTCTTTAGACGCTCTAGATGATGCAAGTAGACGCTCTAGATGGTGCAGATTTGCAAGTGTCTTTCTGGTTTTGATTATGATACCTTTCAAAATATCTTTAGAAGTATTGCTATGTTACTAGAAAACTTACTACATGCTTCTTCATTCTGTGAAAATATTCCATCATGATTTCTGAATATCCTTTGCCATTTTATCGGCAATAATTCTTGCTTAAAGTAGATTGCTCTTTTGAAGAGGATGTAGTGGCTATGGAATGTGCATACAGCTTAAGCTACAGGGGTGCCTACAGTTTCCTGTAGACAGTGGATCTTCTATGCAGTGATCTGTGTTCTTTAGTACTGCTAGATATATGAGTATGCCAAAATGCAGTGATATAATTTTCACTGCCTTTCACTGTGGCTACTACATGTTTCTTCATTCTGTGAAAATATTCCATCATGATTTCTGAATAACCTTTGCCATTTTATCGGCAAAAGTTCTTGCTAAAAGTAGATTGTTCTTTTGAAGAGGATATAGTGGAGCTATAGAATGTGCTTACAGCTTAAGCTACAGGGGAGCATACAGTTTTCTGTAGACACTGGATCTTCTATGCAGTGATCTGTGTGGTTTAGTAGTGCTAGATGTATGAGTATATGCCAAAATGCAGTGATATAATTTTCGTTCTGTTTCACTGTGGAATCTGATAGCCTTTTGGCAAGTATAGGTTGGAATTAAATTGAAGCAGGTAAAAATCGTATGGTAAGTCTCTCATTCTTATTCAAAAGTGCTTACTTTTGTTATAAGATTCACCTATAAAAATAAAATAAAATATGTGATATGCCTGCAAGCTCTGATCAGCATGTTTACTGGAACTTATATGCAAAAATAGGTATTGTGTATGTTGTGTGTTTGTTTGATCAGACTGTTGTTTCAAAATCTGCGATCTCTTCTTTGTTTGTTGGATACAGTCAGTGTGTTTACTACTGCTGATGCCTTTTATTATTGCTCCTATTATGGAATGCTCTATTATTTGAGAGTGGTGGGGGTTGAGTTGAAGAGGCGGGGTGCGGGGTTTCTGTCTTGAAGAAGAGTGTTATAGCGTTGTGAGAATGTACTTGTTTACAAAGACAAATTATGGGGTATGAGAAGTTGATCTCTTACAAGTACTTGCTTAGTGGGAGATGTTGATTAGAAGTTGCTCTTCCTGCGTAGAATATGAAGAATAATTTGTCTTTGTGGTTGAGCGTACACAGTTGTTGCATGTAGTTCATTGACTGAAGTTGCAGCCGGTGATACGACACAGTTGTTTCACGGGGTGATAGATCTTTTGGTCTTTTGTAATTTTATTTTTCTTTGATGTAATATTCAAGTATTTGTAAAATACAACCATTTCGACGTAATATTGTGCCTAAGATTTGGATGTAAAAAACACCAAATCCAATTGTAGCTTATGATCATGCATTTGAATAGGGATTACAATGCGGGGTGGGTCCAAGTAGGTTTCTTTTAAATTAATGTGGAGCGGGCAGGTTGTTGGTATATGGGATCTTATGTGATAAGAATATTATTTATTAAGATAATTTCATTGAAGCTACTAAAATGTTCAAAATAATAAATGAAAATGGTTCAATAAAAAATCATACAATTTCTTGCATGTTTTGAATTGATCTTAAAAAATATATATATATTAAGAAAATTATGTGGGGTGTGTTGAAGATGAGAATAAATTAAAAGTTTTGCGGGTTAAGCTCAATTCATGCATCGTCTCATTGTCATTCCGGTGACGTACATGCCAATTACGTGATGATTTATTAAAGTTTGGTGACAATTACGTGATGGTTTATGAATGGATTGCGAGGGATGATTTTCATCAATCAAATACTTGTTAAAAATCTTGTTACTCTTAAGAAATTTAGGTTACGAATTGAATTGAATTAAGTTTTTTCGAAGACGGTGTATTAAGTTAAATATAGAGATTGTTTGGTAAAATGTATAAGAATAAAGCGAAATGTAGTGTATTAGTAATAACGTTTACATTAGTTATGATGAGATTTTTTATACAATGTTTGATTTGGTGTATTTTGAAAATATTGAGCATAACATAACTTTTTTAGAAAAAGTATTTGTTTACAAAAAATCATGAAAGGATGTTAAAAAAAGTTTTTGAGGGCAATTGTGTCTTTAATAATGTTAGTGCACGCAATTAGAACTCATTGCGTTATTAATTCATATAAATAGATGGTATTAGTAATATACTCTTGAACACACAATAGAATGTATTATCAATGCAAGCATTAGTTATGCATAGGCTAGAAAAGTATACCAAAAAAGGGTATTAATAATACATCAAGCTAGTAAAAGCAATAATGTTTCCAATATACTTTATCAAACGATATTTGGCTATTGATTAGAGTATGCAGGTATACATTATGTTGAAATAAGTTATGTAGGTATTAGTTAGACAAATATTTGTTATAGGCATTATATATATAGGATTAGTTATCTAAATATTATACAATGTATTTTATTTCTTATTTCTTATTTATTTTGTTGTGAATTAATATATTCTTTTGACATATAAATAAATATGAATTTGTAAAATCTAACTAATGATATTTACTTGATAAACAAGTGAAAATGCACAGAGGTATCACCATTAACTAAAAACTACTTGATGCGGCAAACATAAAATGTTGTATTAAATGAGGTTTCGAGGAACATAAACAGCTTAATTGACCTACTTTATTTTGTAAATTAGTTTATATACATTATTTACAAATAAATAAGTGAACAAATTAGAGGTAAACAAGTAATTCTTATTTAATTCTGGGATAGCTAATATACCTACATAACTTATTTTACACATTAAAATTAACTCACTAATAATGGTCGAGATATTATTTGAAATCTGAAAAATTCCATGAATTTTAGAGATTTTAGTGGAAGAGGTAAAATAATTTGTTCAATTATGTATTGAAAATGAAATTGTTTCGTAGACTTCCTTGTGCATCTTACACTAATAATTCACACCAAATAATTAAAACACAACAATCATTATTGATGTTGGAAGAACATAATAGACATGAACTTTTTAATCTAGAAAATATTACTTGATTGTTTATATATGACAGTGGCAAAATGACATTCAGTTTAAGAGGATCCATAGTATAGGCTAAATGTTTTGATAGCAAAAAGATTACATGTATAAGCATATTGCCTATCATTTAGATTTCTCGTTCATAAATTACTCATTAGTCAATGATATTACAAAAGAGAGTGTTTGTGTATATATATTGATTTAGTATCAATTACATGAAAATTTTAAGCCTTAATGATACTAATATATAGTGCATGGTACTAGTTTAGTATCAATTAAATGAAATTAGTTGAGAGTACATAGTTTAATTATTTAGTAGAGTATAGATAGAAAAAGATATATGTTTGTAATTATTTACTTTTATGAAATATTTGCTTCAGTTTCCCTAAAGAAAACTATTAAGGGAAAATTACGCGACTAAGCAAACTTATATTATTTAGTTACTCATCATAGTTAGAGGGTGTTATAATTACCATTCACGACTAATATTATATATTAATTATGTGGGCTAATTTAAAGTTTGCATAATTAGTCACGTTTAATTCGCCAGGATATACAAATACATATGTATAATATACAATTGTTTAAGCTATATACATATACAATTCACCTATCTTCCACCCTCTGCCCTTTCTCAATCTCGCTTGCCATATATACAAATGCATATGTATAATATACAATTATATAGATATACAATTCACCTCTCTTTCGCCTCTCTCCTCCCTCTCCCAATTTTTTCTCGCAGTATATACAAATACATATGTATAACATACAATTATCTAACCAATATACATATATAATTCACCTCTGTCTCCCACTTTTTTTTCCTCTCTCGCCTCTCTCCTCCATATAACATGTAGCTATGAATTGTAATCATCAAACTTAATTAGGCTATTTTTAAGTAGTTATATGTGAAAATTCCCCGACTATAAAAGGCCAAAGGTTTGAGATTCAACAATTGGACCCAAAATAGAGAAAATCCATGAAAAAAACAAAAAAACAAAACTGGTTGAAAAACTTTGAAGCCCAACAACAACAGCCGAGAATCAAGAATAGAACTAGCAGAGTGTCGTCTCTGTAACTCTCAACACATCCCGGCGGTCGAATGCTTCAAGCTCTCCTTGAATTCCGAAAACACAAATCTCACATCAAACAGGTTGGTTCACTTCTCTTTAACCTTTCTTCTTTTCCTAGAAAACTTCAACTTCAACAGTTTCATCTACTACTTTCTTCATCTTCTGTAAAACCAACATATACTACGCAATATACATCTTCTGTTGAAAAATCAAAGAGTTTAAGCTTTTCGAGTAATAAAGGTGAGATCTTGAACAACCCCATCATCAAAGATTGCCTTCTTAAGCTATCTGAGATCTCCCCTGCAACTGTTCGTAGATATTGGAGAGTTTCTGTGTTGAATCCTAATGATGTTCTTGAAATTCTGTTGGGTTTTCAGAATGATAGTGGAGCTTTTGATGTTGAGATTAAAAAGATTGAATCTTTGTGGGGAATTTATATGTGGGCTAGCAAGCAGAGTAAGAGTTTTAGGCATCTTATTAAGGCCTCTGAGATCATTGCCACAATGCTTGTCCGTTCTGGGTTGTTCAAGGAAGTTGAGTGCTTGGTTTCATTGTTGGATACCCAAGGAACTTTCTTGGATAATCATGAGATTTACAGTAATCTAATTGAAGTGTTTGTGGGTGATTATCGATTAGAGAATGCTATTGGATGTTATGATCGAATGAGGATGCGAGGTGTATCCCCATCGATTTCATGTTACAGGGTAATCCTTGAGTTTTTGATTCAAATACATGAAACTCAATTGGCATTTCAAATTTATGTTGATGCTATAGATATTGGCTTGGGAAGGAACGTGTCTGAAAGGGGTATATATGAGGGTGTTATCAGACTGTTATGTGCTGATGCGAAAGTTCAGGATGCCAGGAATTTGGTTAAGAAGGTCCTGGCTTTCGGAATTGAACCTAATTATTTAATCCTCGATTCTATTGCTTCTGGTTATTGTAATAAACGAGATTATGATGATCTGCTTAGTTTCTTTGTCGAGATCAGTTGTATTCCTGATGTAACTGTAGTCAATAAGCTCATCCAGTCTGTCTGTGGACAGTTTGGTGTGGCAAGCGGGAACTCATACGTGATGAAGTTGGATCAACTGGGTTTTTGTTTGAATGAAATAACATTTGGGATTTTGATTGGATGGGCTTGTCGTGAAGGAAAACTGAAGGATGCATTCTTTTATCTCTCAGAGATCCTGTCACGAAATCTAAAGCCCACTATATATTCCTATGATGCTATTCTTAGTGGACTTTTCAAGGAGGGTATGTGGAAACACTATCAAGACATTCTTCAAGAAATGGAGGATCAGGGAGTAGAGCCTCAGTTATCAACTTTCAGGGTTCTTTTAGCTGGATTTTGTAAAGCTAGGCACTTTGATGAAGTAAACACAATGGTATCTAAGATGGTAGGTCGTGGCTTGATCCAACTATCTCCTACTGAAGATCCACTTTCCGGAGCTTTTGGATTCTTGGGTCTCAATTCTTCTGCTGTGAAAATCAGAAGAGACAATGATATAAGATTTCATAAAGCAGAATTTTTTGATAATCTTGGGAATGGGCTTTATCTGGATACAGATGTCGATGAGTATGAGAGAGTTATTCATAAAGTCCTTGATGATGCCATGCTTCCTGATTTTAACGCTGTTGTATGGAAGGATTACATGAAAAAAGACATGAAAGATGTTCTGATGATGGTGGATCAAATGTTCTGTTGGGGACAAGAAATATCTCTGGGTGCTCTGGATGCCTTAGTGAAAGAGCTGTGTGCATCCAGCATTTGTATTAAGACCATTTCTGGTCTGTTGGAGAAAGTTCCAAATTTTACACATCAGCTTGATCAAGAAACTCTAAATAAGCTTGTTCGGAAATACAGCAAAAAGGGGTCTGTGCACAGGGCAAGAGCAATCTTGCATGGCATGCTAAGTAGACATCTAAGACTTGATAGTGAAACTCATACTGCTCTGATGATGGGCTTATGCAAGAAAGGGGATCTGAGAGGTCTAACTTCTTACTGGAAGTTTGCACAAACTAATAATTGGTTACCTGATTTGAAGGATGGAAAGACTCTCTTCAGTCGCCTATGCAGGCGAAGACGGCTTAATGAAGCACTAGAGCTTTTTAATGCCTTGCTGGTGCTCTACCCTGATGAAGTATGTGATGCTCTTCATATGTTCCTTGAAGAACTCAGTGCTAAAGGGTTCACAAGCTCTGCCAAGATTCTGGCAAAGGAAATCTTAAACCAGGGCTGTATTTCTAGTCACTCGGCTCATAGCCATCTTATTCAGGAGTT